TATTATCTTAAAAATCAGTTTTCGATTTATTTTCTAGAATTCATTGGTAATTTTCAAGTATTGTAAGGTTTTTGTAAATAATTGCGTAATTCAGCCTTTGGCTGCGAAGCAGTTTTAATAAACTATCTATCTATCATCATAACACGATCACAGCTCGGACGCTTCTTGCCTAACCCACTTCTTTTGACTAACTTTTTCTTCTCATTTGGGGCAAAGAGATCAGAAAGATTTTGTTTGAATTTAGATTTTGCATTTTTGAGATCAAAAGCGCTTGCGGTAAGCTCAATTAGGACAATTTGCCGGTGATTTGATTGCTTTTGTTTTTCGGCTTAATACGTCAGTCATGATAAAGTGCATATTGAGGTTAAATATAAAGCACTGTATTAAGATATGGCTGATGTAAGCCAATAAATTCCATATTTGGTTCCTTCATTTTTCTTTTCTTTCACGACAAATTATATCTATTAGCGTTATAATAATGCTAAAGAGGACGACATAATTATTCAGAGGTATGAAATTTAATTCCTTCGAATTATGGCTTTCTGTTTATTTATGATTCATCTAATAACTTTCGTTTCTACTTGAAATTTAACGCACAACCGAATGGTTCAAGTCAGAATTGGCAAACTTCCTCAATCAAATTTGGATCATTTATGACTATAATAACAAAATTGTTTGCAATTCTTAGAAATCAAAGTCAAATGCGCAGATTGCAACGAGCCTCAACCCATTATTGCCGTATTGACACCTTGGTACTGATTGTTGTTACAAATTGACATCAGGTAATGGACCATCAAAACGACTTACTTGTTTGCAATTCTTAGGATCAAAAGTGGAATGCGCGGCTTGTAAGAAGCCTCAAAGTATTATTGCAGTATTGACACCTTGGTATTGATTGTTATTACAAACTGACATCAGGTAATGAACCATTAAAACGACACACCTGTTTGCAATTTTTAGAAATCAAAAGTGAAATACGCGAATTGCAACAAGCCTCAACACATTATTGCGGTATTGACACCTTTGTATTGATTGTTATTACAAACGTACATCAGGTAATGGAACCATTAGCTAACACAATACACTAAGAATCCCTCCCCTTACTGACTCCTAGCGAGGTCTTTCTTCACGCGGTTTGCCCTCATCAAATAAACTCATCCTCTAAATCAAGAACGAGCTACCTTTGACTATGAAAAAATCGAAACAAAATGACGCCCTCAGACAATTTGTTATAAGACAGTCAAAGGTAATGCATTTTTGTTTAATTTATCCTCTATAAATGCAGTTATTCTTGATATATATATATGCAAAGCTAAACATGGTAAAATACCTGTTTAAGTTATTGGCATCAGTCGTGTTAGTAGTGAAGTTAGTTCAGTCGATGAAAAGTGAGTAAAAAGAAAACTATCGTGTACAGGCACCTGGAAATGCCTGCTATCAGAAAGATACTGACCCAACTATAAGAAACGCGTTCCACAATGGCTCAAATCGATCCCTTAGCGTTAAGTCAACATTAAGCAAGAGGTGGTACTGAAAAATAACTGACTTTATTTGAATTGCCATTAATTAATTACCTACAGAGAACAGACGGGCGAATAACCAGGCGGGTGATGACGAGGTAGAGTTTAGCCGAAATAGTGTGAGCTGAATTGCTTATGGGATCTCCGTGACTGTTACGCTGAAGCTTATCACAGTAGTGACAGATTTGTGCTTACGTGGCTGGTCGGCTCTAATTGTTTTCAAACGAGAACTTTTGTCGAGCTCAAACAAAGGCAAATTCTCAGAAATGAATTTTTTGAATAATCACGCAAGTTGACAGGAAATTTGGCGGAACTCGGTGGTGAAGAACTACCACAAAAACTGGCCACTCTTAATATAGTTGTAGGAAAGTTGATCGACGAACAGATTTCAACTCTAAATGGTTACGTTTTTCAACTCATCAGTTGAACGTAAATCGTCTTCCTGACCAACAAATCAATTAGAAAACGTAATTAGAGCAATGTCTTATAGAGAGTCGTAAGAAGTCTGGGCTGGCGTTCTATTTGCTTCTCTCTGCTTTGTGATTGGTCCAGAATTCTCGATCCTCTCTCAACCAATCAAAT